GACTTTAAAAGTGGGGACAGATGATTAGCACAGGGGTAAACTGCAGTGCTTTGCCAGGCTGACCCGCATGCGGAGTTTCCAGCTTCACATTGGAAGACCTCCCTGAGTACTCCAAGGGCATGCATCCAAGGGCATGCATACCCATGATCTGGGACTGGCTGAGGCTGGGAGGGGGGGGGGGGTGAAAGTGCTTTCTTTTTCACATGTGCTCTCAGGAAAATATTTAACATTTTAATTTTTTTTTTTTTTTAAGTTTTTGCTATAGGTAATGTACACCCATAGGAGAGAGAAAAAAAGAGGGAAAGTGAGAAATCACCTCCTAGAGGGGATGGCCATGGCTCAGTTCCCTTTGCCTCCTTTCATATCTTGGGATTTTTAGACATGCATGCACATGTGTTTTTGTTTGTTTATAAAATTTTATTAATAGTGGCTGACAGGTCAATTGGTGGTTAAAGAGGCCGGACTCCCACACGGCCAACCATGGTTCAAGGGCTAGACCTCGTAGCTTGCTTTCTGTGTCTCTCTCTCATCAAGCTAGAAGGTAGTAATAATAATAATAAGTAAAGTTAAATTAATTCTTTTTAAAAATTTTTATTGATTCTTTTCTTAACTTGCTATAGGGCAAATTCATCCACCAGAGAGGGAGAAAAAGAAAGCCACCTGGTCCAGGACTTGAACCATAGTCAGCCATGTGGGAGTCAAGTACCTTAACCACCAAGCCATCTGTTAGTTCCAATCTGGCGTGTTTTTTTAAGCAGCCAGGTCTGGGATGCAAACAGCGAAATCAGGCATGTGGGATCCAGTTGCCCTAACCACCATGCCTTTTTTTTTTTTTTTTTAAAGAGAGATCTTTTGCTTTAGAGCATGTAGGCTTGACAGAGACAGAGAGAAAGTGAAAAATTACACCCCCCCCCAGGGGGAATGGCTGTGCTGCAATCCTTTCTCCATTCTCCTCTCAGGATTCTCAGCATACCAGCACATACACGCCTTCGCCTGGCGTGAATTTCAAGCCTCTTTCTGGGACTCAAACTGTGGTCGACCATGAGGGAGTTCAGTGCCTTAGCCCCTATGCCCCTGGGCTCATATTTTTTTATTGCTCAAAGACACACACACACTCACCCAAGAGAGAGAAAGCACACCCTAGTGGGGTGTGGTCACGCCATAGTCTCTTGTCCACTTATCTGGCCTGTGGAGATTTTGCACACAAGACTGGTATATTTTTCAAACCACTGGGGTCAGGATTCGAACCACTGTCAGTTATGTGGGATCCAGCTCCCTTAACCACTAGGCCAGCTCATATTCACACTATTCAGGCTTATTTTTCATTGTAAACTTAATTACTTCAGAGGGAAACACTACTGTCTGCTTTGCTTTTTCTTTTCTAATTTCATTTTCTGCAAGGGAAATTTATCTTAAAAATTTATTGAGCAAAGGACCAGCAGGTGGTGTGGTGATTAAGGGCACTGGACTCCCACATGGCTGAGCGTGGCTTGAGTCCTAGATCTGGGGGCTTGCTTTATCACTTTCTCTCTTTCCCCTCTCTCTCTCACTTACTCTCACTCTCTCACTCTGTCCCTCTCTGGTCAAATTAGATAGATGGATAGATGGATGGATAGAAAAAGAAAGAAAAGAAAGAAAGGAAGGAAGAAAAGAAGGAAGGAAGAAAGAAAGAAAGAAAGAAGAAATTAAGTTAAATAATTCTTTAAAAAAATTTATTGAGGGGCTAGCAGTTAGCATAATGGCTATGTCGCTAGACTTCCATGTAGTCGACCACAGTTCGAGTCCCGGACCCAGTGGCTTAAACTCACACCAGGCACGTGTGCGTGTATGCCCAAGATCCCAAGAGGAGAATGGAGGAGAAGGGATTGTGGCATGGCCATCCCTCCTGGGGGGTGATTTCTCACTTTCTGTCTCTCTGTCTCTCTCTTTCTGGTGAGTGCACGCACCTTATAGCAAAAACCTCTAAAAAAAAAGATTGAACAATAAATACCACCTAAGAAATTTATATTCAGTTCTTCATTTAGTGCCTTTTAGCTTTTGCTACACACACACTCACTCCAATATAATCCTAGATCCAAATTATGCCTAGATTTTTATTTTTATTTCCTTTTTTTTTTTTTTTGACGTTTTTGTTATAAGACCGTATGCACTCGCCAGAGAGACAAAAGCAAGAAATCACCCCCAGGGGGATGACTATGCTACAATCCCTTCTCTTCCATTCTCTTCTCAAGATCTTGCGCACACACACACACACACACACACACACACACACACACAGGGCAAGTTTAAGCCACTGAGTCCAGGACTTGAACCAGAGTCGACTACATGGGAGTCAACGACATAAGCCATTACACCAAATCTGGTCCCAATCCTGGATTTTTCTGAAACAAGGACACATTCTTTAAAATTTTCTTAGTTGGCAGCACACTCAACTTTCCACATTGACCTGGTTAACTGATACGTCATCAAATTAAGTCCCTTCTAAGTTTCCTTGAGATTCTGCTTGTTCAAGAATCATCATGCAGGCCAGCAGTTGGTGTGGTGGTTAAGGGCGCAGGACTCCCACATGGCCAACTGAGGTTCGAGTTTTGGACCTGGTGGCCTGCTTTCTCACTCTCCCCCTCTCTCTCTCTCTCTCTCTCTCTCTCTCTCTCTCTCTCTCTCTCTCTCTCTCTCTCTCTCTCTCTCTCTCTCTCTCTCTCTCTCTCTCTCTCTCTCTCTCTCTCTCTCTCTCTCTCTCTCTCTCTCTCTCTCTCTCTCTCTCTCTCTCTCTCTCTCTCTCTCTCTCTCTCTCTCTCTCTCTCTCTCTCTCTCTCTCTCTCTCTCTCTCTCTCTCTCTCTCTCTCTCTCTCTCTCTCTCTCTCTCTCTCTCTCTCTCTCTCTCTCTCTCTCTCTCTCTCTCTCTCTCTCTCTCTCTCTCTCTCTCTCTCTCTCTCTCTCTCTCTCTCTCTCTCTCTCTCTCTCTCTCTCTCTCTCTCTCTCTCTCTCTCTCTCTCTCTCTCTCTCTCTCTCTCTCTCTCTCTCTCTCTCTCTCTCTCTCTCTCTCTCTCTCTCTCTCTCTCTCTCTCTCTCTCTCTCTCTCTCTCTCTCTCTCTCTCTCTCTCTCTCTCTCTCTCTCTCTCTCTCTCTCTCTCTCTCTCTCTCTCTCTCTCTCTCTCTCTCTCTCTCTCTCTCTCTCTCTCTCTCTCTCTCTCTCTCTCTCTCTCTCTCTCTCTCTCACTCTGTCACTCTAAATAAGCCAATAAATAAATAGTTAAATAAAAAATAATTATTAAAAAAGAATCATCATGCATACTTAATGTTTTCATAATAATATGTTAGTTGCCCTGTTCAAAACACTTTATATACAAATTTGTTTAACCTTTTTAGCAAGATGATGAGGATTAAGTATCACCATTTACAGATGAAGAGGTGCTAAGAGTGAATAACTTGGCCAAGGTGAGAGTGAGTCGGTGATAGAGGACCACATCATCTGATTCCAAGGCCCATACTCTGAACTGTTTGTTTTTTGTTTTTAAGTTTTTGGGTTTTTTCCATGAGAGAAAGAGACAGGCACCCTCAATGGGGCCCTTGTGTCATGGTCCATTTGAGTCTCAGCTGACCTAGATCACAGGTGGACACATGTACCCCCTAGTATACTCAGGGAATTCCTAGCATGGGAACTTGGGACCTTTCCCGTATGCGTTCAGTGCTTTACCACGGCCCTGTCACCTGTTCTCATTACTGGTTTTTCTTTTTATCATAGAACACATGCATGGAAGAGAGCAAGAGATGAGTACCCTTCACAGGGTCTGATCACACTGTAAACCCCTCCCCCCAGGCCTCCAGCCTGTCAGATCATGGGCACGTATGCGTATGTGACCCATGTTCATGTTGTACAGGCCTGAGACTCAAGCTGCTGTCATCATGTGGGATCCAGTTTCTCCTGAGCAGTGTTACCACTGCACCATGGAGCTGGCCCTTGTTTGTTGTTTTTAATAAAGATTAGTTTATCACAAAGAAACAAAGCTTCAGGGTATTTTAGTTTTTATCATCACTTCATGAAATTATAACTACTATACTCCAAAGTTATATTATCATGGAGGTATTTATCTCTAGTAGTAAGTTATTGGGCAGGGCTGCCTGGGTTTGAATTCCAACTTCACCATTTACTAGTGGAAAAACCACAAGCAGGTTGCTTAACCTCTCAGTGCTTCAATTACCATTTGTAAAAAGGGAGTAAGCATAGTACCCACCTTATGGTTTGGTGATTAAGATTAAATAATACACCTTAAAGTACTTGGCACCTGGTACTTTATAAGCACCCAATAATACTTTAGCTATCTTAATTGTTGCTGGGTTGGGTTTTCTTTGTTTTGTTTTGTTTTGTTTTTAATTTGCGTACATTGTTTTTCTATCACCATGTACTTCCATAGAATTTATCATTATTCCTATCTTGGATTTATGTTCAAAGATCTCAACTTACAATTATTTATTACTTGTGTATGTTGACTAAATATTAGAGATATTTTTGGTAACTTGAGGAAACGTCACCACTTTAAACAGGAAGAAAATGTGCTTTTAAAAATGACTTTCCGGGACCAGCAGTTGGCATAATGCTATGTCACTGGACTCCCACGTAGTCGACCACGGTTTGCGTCCCTGACCCGGTGGCTTAAAACTCACGCTGGGCGCGTGTGCGTGCGTGCCCAAGATCCCAAGAGGAGAAGGGATTGCGGCGTGACCATCCCCCCTGGGGGGTGATTTCTCGCTTTCTGTCTCTCTATCTCTCTCTGTCTGTGTGGCGAGCACACGCACCCTATAGCAAAAAAAAAAAAAAAAACCTCCCCCCCCAAAAAAAGACTTTCCACAGGTAATTTGTTAAACTATTCATGTTTTATTTGTATTCCCTTTAAACAATCAAGAGTTAAATGTCCTTTGTGTAGTAAATGATAAATTTAATATTTTGGTGTTGATGTAAAAGAACTCCCTAACTTTTCTCTGAATTACTATATATTCAGATCACAAGGTTTACATCTGGCACAAACGTAGTGAACTGCCAATTGCGGAGCTAACAGGGCACACACGTACAGTGAACTGCGTCAGCTGGAACCCGCAGATTCCATCCATGATGGCCAGCGCCTCAGATGATGGCACTGTTAGGATATGGGGACCCGCACCTTTTATAGACCAGCAGAATATTGAAGGTAACACCTTTGTACAATGTCCTGTTCTCTCCAAATGAGATGTTGTTCTGCTTGTTGTGAAGTTGCAGCTCTCTTAAGCAGTAATTTATTTAAAGTGTGGGGTATGATTGATTATCTCTTTTAGAGATTGTACCCTATCTCATTCCACAGGAGGTTTAAGTAACCTAAGATCCACTAGTGTTGCAGTGTGTCATCTCATTTATATCTTGTTTTAGTAGGCTATTTAGCTATTTAGCAGTGCCACTTTAAGGATCTTATTGAAAATCTGGCTTCATAATACCACTTAAATGCAAAGCATTTTATACACTTAAAGAGCTAGCCAGAATACAGAATGTGAACAACTTCAAAAGATTTTAATGATCTTGATTATGGATTTTACTCTTACAATAAACACCTGTTAACCCTGTGTAGCATAGTAACATGAGCTATACTTGGGTAGGGAAATAATAGGGAACTAAATCTTACTGTATACGTATGGTCCCAGGCTGCATGCTGGGGCCTGTATTACATACCTTATCCCAAGAGGAGAAGGGATTGCGGCGTGACCATCCCCCCTGGGGGGTGATTTCTCGCTTTCTGTCTCTCTATCTCTCTCTGTCTGTGTGGCGAGCACACGCACCCTATAGCAAAAAAAAAAAAAAAAAAACCTCCCCCCCCAAAAAAAGACTTTCCACAGGTAATTTGTTAAACTATTCATGTTTTATTTGTATTCCCTTTAAACAATCAAGAGTTAAATGTCCTTTGTGTAGTAAATGATAAATTTAATATTTTGGTGTTGATGTAAAAGAACTCCCTAACTTTTCTCTGAATTACTATATATTCAGATCACAAGGTTTACATCTGGCACAAACGTAGTGAACTGCCAATTGCGGAGCTAACAGGGCACACACGTACAGTGAACTGCGTCAGCTGGAACCCGCAGATTCCATCCATGATGGCCAGCGCCTCAGATGATGGCACTGTTAGGATATGGGGACCCGCACCTTTTATAGACCAGCAGAATATTGAAGGTAACACCTTTGTACAATGTCCTGTTCTCTCCAAATGAGATGTTGTTCTGCTTGTTGTGAAGTTGCAGCTCTCTTAAGCAGTAATTTATTTAAAGTGTGGGGTATGATTGATTATCTCTTTTAGAGATTGTACCCTATCTCATTCCACAGGAGGTTTAAGTAACCTAAGATCCACTAGTGTTGCAGTGTGTCATCTCATTTATATCTTGTTTTAGTAGGCTATTTAGCTATTTAGCAGTGCCACTTTAAGGATCTTATTGAAAATCTGGCTTCATAATACCACTTAAATGCAAAGCATTTTATACACTTAAAGAGCTAGCCAGAATACAGAATGTGAACAACTTCAAAAGATTTTAATGATCTTGATTATGGATTTTACTCTTACAATAAACACCTGTTAACCCTGTGTAGCATAGTAACATGAGCTATACTTGGGTAGGGAAATAATAGGGAACTAAATCTTACTGTATACGTATGGTCCCAGGCTGCATGCTGGGGCCTGTATTACATACCTTCATGCACAACAGCTTCATAGTCCTTCAAGAGAAGTGTTTTTATAGGTAAGGAAACTGAACCATGGTAAAGCTAATTAGCTTGTTGAGTGCTGCCAGGTCTTCTTCACATCAAGGTCTAAAAGGTTTTTTCCCACTACTTTGAGAGACTTGAAGATGAAGAAAGCACAAAGTATAAGGCTAATAGTTAAGGAAAAGCTTAAGTGAACATAGGAGTACTAGAGAGAAGGGCATAATGAGAAAGGTCAGTAAATTATTTCTCTCCCCTTTTTCACATAAAACAAATAAAATGTTTAGTTTGATTAAAAGTAAGTGATTTAGATTATTTGTTCACTGTGTCCCACCTAAAAAATTTTAGTAAGAAAAGTGACTGCATTACTGGGTAAGCAGGGAGGACAGGTAGCTCTATCATGGTAGCCTATATGATTTGAAAAGGTATATTTTGTTCTCTGTGTGGTTTGGTTTGGTTCGGTTTTGGTTTTGGAGGGGTGTTTTTGTTTTTGTCTTATGATACAAACCGTAGAAGTCTCCACCAGATCTTTCTGGCAGGTGAGGTGAGTTAAAAGTGTGATGAGTACAGGGATCATAAACAATTTGACAGCTACTGAGAAGTTGCTCAGAACTTCGAAAGGCCCTTTTTATATTTGTAGATCACTGTAACATTTTAACATTCCTCTGGGATATCAGCTGAGACCAGAAATGTATTACTACTTTGTTGTCCTGCTTAGGTTTCAAACTCTAATCTCTTAAGATAGACTCCCCCCAACCCCCCGCCTTAAGAATGATTTATTTATTTAATTCCATTTGTTATTATTACTGTTTAACTTGTTCGGAAAGAGCCAGAGAGGGTCCAGCAGGTGGCATGGTGGTTAAAGGTGCTGGACTCCCACATGGCCGACCGCGACTCGAGTCCCAGACCTGGCAGCTTATGTTCTCTCTCTGTCTCTGTATGTGTGTGTCCTTCTCTAGTCAAATAAAAATAAAATGAATAAATAAATAAAGTTAAATATAATAATTAATAAAGAGAGACAGAGAGAGAGGAAGGGAAAGTGAGAAAGCAAGCTACCAGTTCTAGGACTTGATCTGTGGTTGGCTATGTGGTTGTCCAGCACCTTAACCACCACACCACCTGCCGTCCACAAATAGACTATATATGTACAACTGTGATTATGCTTTTTTTATTGTATTAGTCACTTGGAAGTTATTGATTCAAGAAAATAAGCATATTTGAGTTGAAGTAGGAAAACATTAGGTATATAGTAATAGATTAATCCTGTAAGAGGGTATATTTGCCTCTACTGCATTGGAATAAGAGTCCCATTAGTGCTATTTAATGAATTAATGAGTTAATGTTGATACTCACATTGGTAACTAAGGGAGATTTTGGCTCAGTTCAAAGACCTGGGTCCAGTTCAGCAACTTCCCATCATGTCTTGACAACATGGTTATAGCTCTAAAAAGATTTTTGTTATTGTTAGATGTTTTGCTATAGGGCGTGTTGTACTTGCCAGAGAGAGAGGGAAAATGAGAAATCACCCTCTGGGGGGAATGACCACACCTCAATCTCTTCTTCTCCATTCTCCTCTCTGGATTTTGGGTAGGCACACACACGCCTGGCATGTTGTTCAAGCTGCTGGGTCCAAGACCTGCTGAGTAGGTCATGTGGGACCACCGCTGACCCGCCCCCTCCAACAATTTTTATAATATTTTGAAATAGAAAAACAATTTCCATATAACCAGGTATTGGTTATGTAGCCTTTGTGAAAGTATCTACCAGAGTCTTTTTTTTTTTTTTTTTTTTTTTTTTTTTTTTTTTTTTTCACGAGTTTTTTTTTTTTTTTTTTTTTTTGACCAGAGAGGGACAGAAAAAGAGAGAAAGTGAGAAAGCCAGCCGCCAGATCCAGGACTAGAACCATGGTCAGCCATGTGGGAATCCAGTGCCCTTAACCACCATGCCACCTACTGGCCCCCAGAGTCTTTTTGACCCTTTGAAACTCCCCTGCCCCAATTAAAGTAATAACTCATTTGGAATAGAAATTTAGAAAAGTTATAGATGAGGCTAAAGAAAATTACATTCAAAAAATATAAAATAATGAGATACTATAAGCCACGTATTTTTTTAAAGAATGATTTAATTCCATTTGTTGTTGTTGTTTTTTTGTTTGTTTTGTTTTGTTTGTTTTTTTAATTCTAACCAGAGACAGGCAGAGAAAGGGAAAGCGAGAAAGGGAGCCACCAGGTCTGGGACTTAAGCCACAGTCAGCCATGTGCACTGGTGCCCTTAACCATCACGTCACCTGCCAGTCCCAGTACTATGAGCTGTTTAAATAAAAGTAATGTACATGACAATACTATATGAAAAGAGAATTTGCTGACCTCTTATTATATAATGGTAGAATTATGGACTGTGATTCGTTTTGATTTGGTGTGGTTTGTTTTTGAGAGATGCATAAGAAGGGTAAAGTACTGACACATACTATAACATGGATGAACCTTGAAAACAGTATACTAAGTGAAAGGAGCCAGACGCAAAAGACCATATATTGTGACTCCATTTATATGAGATGTTCTAGAATAGACAAATCCATAAACAAAAAATAGATTAGTAGTTTCCTGGGGCTGTGGTTAGGGATTTATGTATGACTGCTAACAAGTGATGAAATGTTTTAAAATTAATTGTGTTGGGGACCAGCAGTTAGCGTCATGGCTATGTCGCTGGACTCCCATGTAGTCGACCGTGGTTTGCTTAAAACTCACGCCAGGCACATGTGCGTGCGTGCCCAAGATCCCGAGAGGAGAATGGAGGAGAAGAGATTGTGGCGTGGCCATCCCCCCGGGGGGTGATTTCCTGCTTTCTATCTCTCTGTCTCTGTCTGTCTGGCAAGCGCACGCGCCCTATAGCAAAAACTTCTCAAAAAATAATAATAATAATTAAAATAAAATAAAATAAATAAAAATTAAAAAAAATTATGTTGATGGTTGTACAATTCTGTGAATGTACTGAAAACCATTATTTGTACCCTTTAAATGAGTGCATTGTAAGTAAATGAGTTATATCTCAGTGAAGCTGTTAGATACATAGACATATATCACACCTCCCCAAAATATGGAGTAGGGTAATTACAATAAAATTTAAAACTTGAACAATTGATTTCAAACTTGAGTAACTGAAAGAAGTAACAGTACATAGTTTGAACAGTTTTGTCTTGGTCTGCCAGATCATTTTTCCTGTCCTGTTTTTTTTTTGGGGGGGGGGTGGTTTTGTATGTTTTGTAGAGATTTTTGCTACAGGGTGCATGCACTCCCTAGAGAAATCATCCCCCCCCAGGGTCCTCCATTCTCCTTTGGAGTTTTGGGCACACATACGTGCACACACATGCACCTGGTGTGATTTTGTTTTTTCCAAGCCACCAGGTCCAGGACTGAAACCATGGTCAGCCATATGGGAGCCTGGTGCTTTAACCACTACACCATTTGCTGGCACCCCTTTTATTCTTCTTTGAAAAGTGACAGAGAGAGATTTTTCTGGCTAGGTCTCAACAGTTGTGGTCACTCTGATCCAGCCTCTCAGTTTCCTGAATTACATGTGTGTACTACTGAATCTGGTCTATGTAGGTAGGTCCAGGAACTGAACCCTGGCTGCGTGTGTGGCTGCCGCCTCTTACAGGAGCATTCTACCTCTTGCATTGCTGTTGCTGGGCCTTTTTTCTCTTACTTAAACTATAATAAAGATTTTTATTTTTATTCTGCATACCTATTTCAGGTTTAATTGTTTTTTAAAGAATTGTGTTGTGTAACTTTCTTTCCTTATTTATGTATGTATTTATGTATGTATGTATGTATGAGAGAGAGAGAAAGTGAGAAAGCAAAAAAGTATAAGATTCTAACATGATTATTTACTTGGGTTTCTCCAGTATTCGAAATAATCATGAGTTTAGCCTAAAACATGATATAGTTATATTTTTAAATACTTGTGATAATAAAAGTATAAATAATTTGTTTTTATGTGATAATGTTTAATGTTACTATATTTTTAAAATGTTATGTGGATTAAAACTTTCTAACTGAGAACTTTTTTTCTCTCCCTCCCCTCTCTTTTTTTTCTTCGAATGGAGGAGAAGGGATTGCGGCGTGGCCATCCCCCCGGGGGGTGATTTCCTGCTTTCTATCTCTCTGTCTCTGTCTGTCTGGCAAGCGCACGCGCCCTATAGCAAAAACTTCTCAAAAAATAATAATAATAATTAAAATAAAATAAAATAAATAAAAATTAAAAAAAATTATGTTGATGGTTGTACAATTCTGTGAATGTACTGAAAACCATTATTTGTACCCTTTAAATGAGTGCATTGTAAGTAAATGAGTTATATCTCAGTGAAGCTGTTAGATACATAGACATATATCACACCTCCCCAAAATATGGAGTAGGGTAATTACAATAAAATTTAAAACTTGAACAATTGATTTCAAACTTGAGTAACTGAAAGAAGTAACAGTACATAGTTTGAACAGTTTTGTCTTGGTCTGCCAGATCATTTTTCCTGTTTTTTTTTGGGGGGGGGGTGGGTTTGTATGTTTTGTAGAGATTTTTGCTACAGGGTGCATGCACTCCCTAGAGAAATCATCCCCCCCCAGGGTCCTCCATTCTCCTTTGGAGTTTTGGGCACACATACGTGCACACACATGCACCTGGTGTGATTTTGTTTTTTCCAAGCCACCAGGTCCAGGACTGAAACCATGGTCAGCCATATGGGAGCCTGGTGCTTTAACCACTACACCATTTGCTGGCACCCCTTTTATTCTTCTTTGAAAAGTGACAGAGAGAGATTTTTCTGGCTAGGTCTCAACAGTTGTGGTCACTCTGATCCAGCCTCTCAGTTTCCTGAATTACATGTGTGTACTACTGAATCTGGTCTATGTAGGTAGGTCCAGGAACTGACCCCTGGCTGCGTGTGTGGCTGCCGCCTCTTACAGGAGCATTCTACCTCTTGCATTGCTGTTGCTGGGCCTTTTTTCTCTTACTTAAACTATAATAAAGATTTTTATTTTTATTCTGCATACCTATTTCAGGTTTAATTGTTTTTTAAAGAATTGTGTTGTGTAACTTTCTTTCCTTATTTATGTATGTATTTATGTATGTATGTATGTATGAGAGAGAGAGAAAGTGAGAAAGCAAAAAAGTATAAGATTCTAACATGATTATTTACTTGGGTTTCTCCAGTATTCGAAATAATCATGAGTTTAGCCTAAAACATGATATAGTTATATTTTTAAATACTTGTGATAATAAAAGTATAAATAATTTGTTTTTATGTGATAATGTTTAATGTTACTATATTTTTAAAATGTTATGTGGATTGAAACTTTCTAACTGAGAACTTTTTTTCTCTCCCTCCCCTCTCTTTTTTTTCTTCCCCCCATATATCAATATCATCTTGTCTTCATTCAGAGGAATGCAGTAGCATGGATAGTTGATGGCGAATTTGGAGCAGACGACTTCTGTTTAACTTAAAATTAGTCGTATTTTAATGGCTTGGGATTTGGTGCAAACAAACATGATTGATAGCTGGACAGACATGCTCGTCATGAAAAAAGAACCATTTCTGAAGCCCGATTGGGGCCAAACATTTACACCTTGCTTCATAGTAACCAGTTGAGATGAAGCACGTCGTTAGAACGTTATTGGACACCATGTTGAATTATCCCCCCATCGGTTGTGAAGAACTGTGCTACATTCAGGCTTACCCATTGAACTCAGTATATATATTTTTTTCCCTCCTGCCTTTTGTCTGGCGGGTTACCATTCTTGTTGCTCTTCTGTGTAATGAAGTTTAAATGCTTGTTTGGAACTTTATTTAACAGTTTAGAAGGCTTGATAGAAAGAGTGCATTAGTCTGAAGAGTATACATTGGATAGGAAAGAATTTCCTTCTTTTGTTTCTCCAAATCTTTCCGCCTTATTTAGCTTGAGATCTTTGCAGCTTGGTTCATGGATTCTAGCCTTGCCCGTTGCGCAGTATATACTGACCCAGATGATAAACCAGTGAACTATGTCAAAAGCACTCTCAATATTACATTTGACAAAAAGTTTTGTACTTTTCACATAGCTTGTTGCCCCGTAAAAGGGTTAACAGCACAATTTTTTAAAAATAAATTAAGAAGTATTTATAGGATTAAAGTGACTTCATTTGTATACATTTGGAATCTAAACCAGCTTAAAAACAGTTTCCTGTATGACTTAGCTACACAGTAAGAATGATGCTCTCCTGGAATACCACATGAGACATGGTCAGAAACAGTGCTTGGAAGGACATCACACAAAAAATTCAGGAGTACCACTTTGAAGGTTCCCCTTTTGTTTTATTCCTAATGGAACATCAGTACCTGATCTTGAAGAAATTCAAGATTCCAAAAGAATTTTAAATGTAACCAACATGAGAGATCAGTAGTCAGTTTAGGTTTTCAGAAAAGCTTGTTCCAAGTCTTTCTCAACTTGGAAAGTCATTTTGATGTGATCTAGCAAGAGAGTAGAAATCAGCAGATATAACCACTTTGGAAGTTTATAGTGTAATTGTGATTATTAGAATTCAGCAAGTTACAAACATACTTAAACTGGGATTAAAACCTCATAGTCATTTCTCTTAATTGCCCTTAATATTTTGACATATAGAATACATAAATTTAAAGAATATTCCTTCTCAGTTTTTCAGATATTGCCATATTGAACCTCATTCTAAACTGGTGCTGTGGATAGTCTTTCCTGCTCTCTCCCTGCCCTTTTTAGTTTAAGGAAAGGTTTCCTTCATGGAAAAGCACTTTTAATTTTAAATTTCACATTTAAAATAAGCCAAAAGCCTAATGTTCACATTGTGCTTTTAAGCCCCATAACAGCTGAATACAACATACTTAGTCTCCCTTGATATTCCCTCCGTTTTTCAGCAGAGGATAAATAAGGTGACCACAGCTGTTATGTTGGGAAGAGGAGTGGTGGGGATACACCCCCTAAATCAGTCTGGTGAAGAGAAAGTCCTGTACCCAGTTCCCCCTTAGGCCTAGTGTAGCCAGGTCTGTAATACATCATTACCATAAGTAGACTCCTTCAGGATTCACCAAGAAGAGAAAGGCTTGAATGTCAGGAATTCTCCCATTGTAGGGTGGGGGTAGGGGATGGCAGCAGGGAGAAAGGGGAAAGTCAGGGAAGGGGAGAAGAAAGAAAACACATTTGGCCTTAAAAAAGCATGGATTCTCCCAAAAGCCCATAGTAAAAGAAAACGACAGATCGTGGTCAGCAGATTATTTTATCAAATTGGTATATAAAAGATTTCTTTAAGCTCCATTTTGCAGAGACCACCACTTAGAGAATCAAAGAATTCCTGTTTTGATAATTCTGAGTTAAAAAGAACTATATGTTACAGTTTATCTGGTACTTCATTTTTCTTAACTAAAATTACTTTTTACTTTAAGCTTGAATAAAAATCTTCATTGGTAACTGTATATAATTAAGTGGCAACTTCTCTTTACCTCAGTACAGTTAAAATCATTCATATTTTTAAGTGATTTCATGTATACCCTGAAGCCGTTAATACACCCCAGTCTCTACAGTAACATCACTAGCAAAATGTGGGCATAGAAACTCCACAGCTGTTTACAAAATTGGTTACGGTGTGCTGCGGTACATTGGTAACGGTCACTGAGATTTGTGCCCAGTCGGGCAATTTGGCACTCAGATTCTACTCTCTGCTTCACCCAGCCGCCCCAGATCTGAGTTTTCCGAGTGCTTCTGCAGTACAGTGAAAAACACTTTAAAAAAGTGGAGTAGAAAAGTGAGGCACATTTTACAAGAACATAACTCCTATTAAAATGGAGTAACAACTATGCAAAGGTTTCTATAGCAGCTAGGTGAGTGTGTTCTCCAGGTTGTCTTAACTGGCAGCTCCCTATATATACTGGTACTTTGCTGTGCCAATTTGCCGTAAACGTCTGTTTCATACATTTGCCATGCAGCGACTGTTCTAGAAAGGCGACATAAATGGTGAAGAAACCTAAGATTTTGTAGTGTACCTGATGGCAGGATTTTTCTAATCCATACCTATTAACTGAAAATTTCTGATAGCGCTACAGACTCTAGTTGGCCTCAGAGTGAGAATACTGTCAAGCCAGCCACAAGATACTCACAAATGTATAAACTGAAAAGTACCAATACTTTTTGCACATAGATTAAAATAGAGTGGAGAATTGTAGCTCTAAAAATCAGGTTAGTAGGCTCATTTCCATGTGCTTAAAAATGTTTTTGTTGTTGTTATATGCATTGATTAAGGGCTAGAATAAGTATGAAATTAAATGTCTTTTTCCTCCAAATAATTGATTATTATTGGTAAAATGGTGGATTTGGGGGTTACTAAGACCAGTGTGGGTGATGGTAAAGAATTAGAGTGGGAGCTCATTGGGAGGGATGACAATGCTTCAGTTTTGGTTTTTGTATTTTATTAGTATTCATGCCAGCTACATTTCTGTCCCTCTTACTGGCCAAGTAAATGTGTTATATTAAACCAGGTAAGTAGTTTAAACAGGAAATTTTATGCACACATCCCTACAAATTGACCCATTTTATTGGGTGGGAGAACAAAAAGGGATTCCCTGACTTTAAGGAATTAACCTATTAGTCAAAAAAAAAAAAAAATTCAATTTTGTCAATGTTTTCTTAGTCTGGAAAAACACAAATAGTAATGTGGTGAATTTTATTAAGTGTTCTGCCTCTAGAGTGGCATTTCATGACATTAATAGAGCATCCTTCTTTCCCACCCCTCCCCGTCTTGAAATTTTCTTTTTTAGGATGTTGGTTCCTGCAAACAAGAACTGACCCTATCACCTCTGCCTCACAGTGGGTAAATATATCGTATATCTCTTGAAAGAGAAAATATCCGTGTCAGTTTCTTTCACGGCAGAAGAATGGCTGCTTTTGAATGGGGAGGAAAGAAGACATTTTTCTTAATATCCTTTTTTATCCCATCTCTAAAATGTATAAATTTATTTAGTTGTGATTTCTTATTTAGACTCTAGCAACTCTCCTTTTGAGTTGCTCTCCAAAACATTATTCCCATTTCAGAAACCATACCTGATTTAATATAAACTGCTAATTTTTAAAAGGAGAGGTGAATTTACATTTACACTTAGACACTTTCTAAAAACAGGGTGAACTTAATTGAAATTTTTCAGTGTTGTTAAGCTATTGTTCTAGTAGCTGCCATAGTTACAAAAACTATAAAAACCCATCCCCTATCTACTTAATCCAGATAGCCTGGATTTAATAAAACTAATCGTATAAAAATGTATGTGTGTGTGTGTCTGTGTATGTGTGTTGTGTGTCTGTGTGGGAGAGAGAGAACTTAATTCATAAAAAGTCCTGGAAACAGCTGTTCTAGGTTCTTGTCAATTTTACTAAAAGTCTTGTGCACATGTGAAGTGCCCTCTGAGTTTAAGGTTTGGTTACTACTGGTATATTTTTATAAGATCGAAACCGTGTCCTCATCTTTAACTTAAACATATTCATTATCAGGGTCAGTGTGCTAGAATTGGATCATGACATATTTAGGCACAGAGGGAAAAGGTTGTTGGCTTCTTGAAAATGTGTGTGTGTGTGTGGTGAGGGGAATAGATCCACAAAAGCATGTATGTACTTAAAAACCAAGCTGTAGAGATCAAGAAAAGAACTTAAGTATTGATCTCAAGATTTCTAAATTGTCAAGATTTACATGGCATTGTGGTGGAACTAGTTAACACTTAGAGCTTTTGGTATGTAAAAACTGTTTGCTATGGACTGATTAAATGTTTCAGAGGATTGTGTTCCTAAATTTTGGGTTTTTTTTTTTTTTTTTAACTGCCTCTCAGATTATATTTAGTAGTTCAAATTTCTTTGCTTTTATTATTACATTAAAGTATGGAAACTTCAGGTCTCTGATATTTATTTTCACTTGTTCTACTAATTATTTACAGAACATCCTTTGTTGACTTTTTATTTTATAAATGTATAGTATATTAAATGTCTTTAAAATTTTGTTTAATTGAAACTTTAACTTTGATTTGCTTTACTGAGTTTTTTTTTTAATACACTTTTTCCATGTCAGTGCACAGCACTTAACCAGTCATTTGTATTCCCTTTCTTTCAATCCAATAAACAGAATGGATAAGTAATTTTTGGTGTGTCATATCTCCTTATTAATCTGAGTGTCTAAGTAGTGAAATAACTGATTTGCTGTGTCTAAAGAAGCTGTGCTTAATCTGGAATATCTTTCTTTATTCATAGTAGAGCACATATCTGCACAGGAGCATGAGAATACTCCCCACAGGATCTGGTCATACCTCAGGCCCCTTCCTCCAGTCCTCCAGACTGTCAGGTCCTGGACATTTGTGTACATGTCACAAATTTGAACTGTGGTTATATATGAGATCTGGCTTTTCCTTTGTTGTTATTGACATCTTAGAGTGAGAAAGCAAGCCACCATGCCCAGGACTTGAACCATGGTCACTCATGTGGGAGTTCAGTGCCTTGACCATTTTGCCACTTGCCAACCCCAGGGAATCTGACTTTTTCTTGAGCAGCAGTTAACACTGCCGTGGAGCGAGCCCTGCTTTGGTATTTTTTTAAAGGGCCATTGTGCAATCATTAAATCTGGAAAAACTTGAGCATTGTATTTTAAAGGAATTACATTCCCTATTTTATTAAAGAAATAGTACCACAGGGTCAGCCAGCAGTATGGTTAATTAAGATGGCTAGATCCCATATGGCCAACTGTGGTTCAAGTCCAGTGGCTTGAAAAACATGCCAGGCACATGTGTGCATGTGCCCAGAATCTGAAAAGGAGGGAAAAATAGAGAAGACATTGCAGCATAATCATCCCCAGTGGGGGTGGAGGATGCTTTCTCCCTTTCCTACTTTCCTCTTTACCATGATCCTGCCTCCTTTCTCCTCTCAGGACATCCACACATGCCCAGTATGAGTTTAAAGCTGCCGGGCCCAGTACTCTAACCAGTCGACTACAAGAGAGTCCAACGCTGTAACCATTATGCCTCTGCTGGTGCCATGCCCCTTCAATAGCTGCCACACAAGGTCCTTCAATGGAAAGTAGTGACTTAAGAGCCTACCCAGGCACCAACAGATCTGTAGCGGTTACATTGCTGGACACCACAGTTAGAGTGCCGGGCCCAGTGGCTTGAAAATCATGTCATGTACATGTTCGCATGCCCAAGACCCCAGGAGGAGAAGGGATTGTGGAGTGGCCATCCACCCTGGGGAGTGCTTTCTTGCTTTCCTTTTCTCACTGTGTCTGTCTCCAGCGAGTGCATGCGCCCTAAGGCAAAGCCCCCGCCCCCCTTTTAAAAAAAAAAAAAAAACCTGACCCATGGTCTAATGGTTAAGGGATACTGGGTCTCCCATGGTCAAGTGTGCAGTTAGAGTCCCTGCTCGATGGCTTAAACACACTGTGTGCATGCACAAGCATACCCCTAATCCCAACAGGATGGAGAAGGGATTGCAGCCTGACTACACCCAATTGTGGGTGCTTTCTCCCTCAGTTTCTGTCTCTGGCAAGCGCATGTAATTAAAAAAAAGGGGGGGGGATGTAAGTACGGCCATGCATCGCTTAACTACAGGAATGCATAGTGAGAAATGCGGTTGTGCAGCTTCATCAGCTTCATCGTGTGAACATCACAGATTGTATTTACACAAACCTACGTGGACTAACCTGCTATGCACCAAAGCTGTATGGCATAGCCTACTATAATCGAATGGAACCTGTCTTACATGTGGTCTGTTGTTGACTGAAACTGATGAGCAGAATATGACTGCTAAACTGGCTCACATTCTCACTAGGTTCCAGTATTTAATGGGAACTGATACAGATGAAAGCAAGATTGCTCCATGGCGGATGTAGCAAACCCAATACACAAGAGGAAACCACAGTCAAACCTCTGAGCTCTCAGCTAGCTGATTCTGACCACCCACCCCCTTACTCTTCTCCACCCAGCTTCAGAGAAATGTTAACAAAGTTACTCAAGTTACTCTAAAGAGCAACTTAATACCAAGTTTACTCAATGCACAATCCCTTTAAGGTCCAGAGTGGTGGTTATTGTGATTACTGCAGTTCAGAATAACCCTAAAGCTTTGAATGACCCGAGGTCATCAGACTACACTTATAGCAAAACAAAACAAAACATACCCCAAAAACCTACTATCTTAGAATATTCATGAGAAATACAGCCTAAATTTACAAAGCTTCACTTGACAAACCCTCAGAAAGCCAGAATAGCCATTTCACTGAAGCTTAATTACACCAGTAATTTTTTTTCCTGGCCAGAGGGTGCATGTGCTCACCAGAGAGATGGGGAAAGCAATCCTCCATGCGGCACGGTCACCACTCCCTTCTCCATTTCTCTCTCTTCAGGATTTTGGGCACATACACACACGTCCCCAGCATGTGTTTCAAGCTGCTGGTTCTAAGACTTGAACCACTTAGTAGCCCGTGTGGAATCCAGGTTCCTTAGCCATGGGGCCACAGGCTGACTCAACACCAGGAATATTTCAAACTTTGTTATGCTACATAGCAAAATAATTGGTTTAAAACATACACTCAAGGGGCCAGCAGGTGACATGGTGGTTAAGGTGCTGGACTCCCACATGGCCGCACAGTTCAAGTCCTAGACACAGTGACTTGAAAATCACACCAGGTACATGTGCATGCCCAAAATCCTGACAGGAGAATGGATTGCAGTGTGGGCCTACCCCTAGGGGATGATTTCTCACTTTCCCTCTCACTGTTTCTCTGTCTCTGGTGAGTGCACACGCCCTATGGCAAAAACCTAAAAAACATACACTTAGGAGGCAGAGTCCTAGATGGTAATCTTACAATTTAAATTTACCCTATCTTGCTATTTCTACATATAATAACAAATTTATTTAGATGTTTAGGACAGCTGTGATACTTTTCACAACTAATACTGACAAAATATTGTGAGTAAAGCTGATTTCAAGTGGGTAAACAGAGGAGTTTCCATTTGTAGCCTACCATGTTTTAGAATATTTTATAATGTGAGTGCTTTTTTTTTTCGCTATAGGGTGCATGTGCTCGCCAGACAGAGAGAGACATAGAGACAGAAAGTGAGAAATCACCCCCCAGGGGGGATGTTCACGCCACAATCCCTTCTCCTCCATTCTCCTCTCGGGATCTTGGGCACACATGCACATGCACCCGGCATGAGTTTTAAGTCACCGGGTCCGGGACGCGAACCGCAGTCGACTACATGGGAGACCAGCGACATAGCCATTACACTAACTGCTGGTTCCTGAGTGCTTTGAAAATAGAGAGTGTAAACTTTCATTATGTTGCTCCATTGCTGCTTCTCTGATTTAAAGAACATCAGGCTTGTTGAAAGAGCCATAGAGCAACACAAACAGATTTACTTCATTCAACATTCATTTATGGTTTCTGTGTATAAGGCCGTAGTAAGTGCCAGGAACAGAAGGAAGATAAATATACGATTAAGTGTACTCTGCCCTCCAGGAGTGTACAGTCTAGTAGATAACTAATGGCAAATAACTGTAATACCAGATAAAAAATGGGAAATGCCACAGAATAAAGTACTCTGCAAAGGTTTTCATAGCTCTCAACCTCAAAGACCAGGTCAGGGGAAGCAGGTTTAGACTTACTCCACTGTAATCTGTGTGGTAGTCATGAAAAGGCGGCTGAGGGGGCCTGTGAGGCTTTAATCAATTGAGTGGCATCTTGGATCTTGCTTTTTCAGCCCTCTCAGCTAAAGCTTCTGAAGCAAGGGCACCTGCTCACCTGCTACCACTGAAGGGATGGAAGGAAAAGACAAGGGGAAATGAAACAGAACACTAGGATTCCAAGTGCTTGGTTACGCCTCGGGCTCTCTCGAGATCTTAGTTTTCTATTTAGATGTAGTTAGACCAAATGATCTCTAAGGTCCTTGCAACTCTCCAATCAATGAAAAGCATAGAAAATTAACTTCTAGAAATCTTTATCATCGGTTTTGTTTTGGTTTTGTTTTTTAAGTTTTGCTATAGGACACATGCACTTGCCAGAGAGAGAGGCAAAGCGAGAAATTACCTCCCAAGGGGACTGGCCAGGTTGCAGTCCCTTCTCCATTTCTTCTCTTGGAATTCTGGGGACACACACACACATGCCCAGCATATTTTTCAAGTCACTGGGTCCCAGATTTGGACCACGAAGACAGCTATGTGGGATCCAGCCTTAACTACCAGAGCTGACCCACAACATAGCTGCTTTTGAGTCATTGCTTTTTCCTCCCTTTTCTTCTGTAAAAAAGAGCCTCAAAAAGTAAAAACAAAAAATAGAATGACCACCCACCCCCTTTCCTGACTTTGATACAGGCAAGCAATACGGGAGAAGACAGGGTTTTTGTTTTAACTAGTTAATGTTTCAAATGTAAAGAGTCCCAGTCATTTGTTATTTAAACAAGGCACCTTTTTCTTTTTTTTTGAGAGGTTTTCGCTATAGGGTGCGTGTACTCGCCAGACAGAGAGAGACATAGACAGAAAGAGAGAAAATCACCCCCCAGGGGGATGGTCACGCCGCAATCCCTTCTCCTCCATTCTCCTCTCGGGATCTTGGGCACGTATGCACACGCGCCCAGCGTGAGTTTTAAGCCACCGGGTCCAGGATTTGAACCATGGTCAACTACATGGGAGTCCAGCAACATAGGCATTACGCTAACTGCTGGTCCCAACAAGGCACTTTTCTGAGTTGCTCAGGCTTGGCAACCTATGCCTTGACAACAGTAAACAGCCCAAAGGCTTCTCTCAAACACATGGATTTCTATTTCGGTTAAAAATTCTTGGAAGAGAAGATAAGGCATTTTGGTCAAAAACTTCCACTACCTTTGAGCTTCTTTAAATAACGTCTCTTCTAAGGATTTGAGTGTTCCAACAGCTTCACTGTTTTAAAAGCTTGAGCAGAACTCTAAGAGTCACTGAAAGTTAGGAAGAAGGCAGAGTAAAGGAACCATTGTTTAAACAATGCCTCAGAGGAAAAAAATAAAGGAATGCAAGCAAAGTTAACCCTGTGACAGCCCTTTGCCTGGCAAGAATACAAGATTACCACAAGGCGCGATTTCTGTGACTCCAAAGAGGCCATCCGAAGGAAGTTTACTTTGCCTACCATTTCTGTTTCTTTCATGTGTTGCCAGGACACTACTTTCATCCTTGAAACATGGTCTGTCTGTGAAGGGAATTGAGCGTAGTGCCCCTGCTCCTGCCAAGCTACACCCAGTCCAGGGCTGAAAGGACATGCAACATTGATCTCTTAGGGGCTATACGCCTTGTTTAGCCATCAATCTGTTTCATCAGTAACCCTTTTGGACTTCCATAAAACAGTTACATTTGCCTAAATGCCAATGCTTAGCAAGCAACACTAAAGTATAATGTTGAGTATTTTCTACCAGATCACCTCTCCAAACACATTTAAATATATATCAGGAGACCTAGTAAGAGTCAGTGGGATTGTATAGGTTTGGGGGTGATTGTGGATGCAATAGATTTTAAATGAAAACTCTGGATAAAATCTTTTCTTTTTTTCTTTTTTTTGGAGAGGTTTTTGCTATAGGGCGCGTGCGCTCGCCAGACAGAGAGAGACAGAGGGACAGCAAGAAATCACACCCCAGGGTAAATGGCCACGCCACAATCCCTTCTCCTCCATTCTCCTCTCGGGATCTTGGGCACACACGTACACGCGCCCGGCGTGAGTTTTAAGCCACCGAGTCCGGGACGCGAACTGCGGTCGACTACGTGGGAGTCCAGTGACATAGCCATTATGCGAACTGCTGGTTCCCTGGATAAAATCTTTTTAAATTTATTTTACCTTTCCATAAGGAAATTATATTGTACCTTCACAAAAGGCTTATAAGGTTTTACAAATTCTGCAAAGATATGCCATTTTCCATGAACATTCTTATAAAACTTTTTTTTTTTTTTTGGAGAGATTTTCACTGTAGGGCGCGTGCGCTCGCCAGACAGACAGAGAGAGACATAGAGACAGAAAGCGAGAAATCACCCCCCAGGGGGGATGGTCACGCCGCAATCCCTTCTCCTCCATTCTCTCGGGATCTTGGGCACGCACGCACACGCGCCCGGCGTGAGTTTTTTAAGCCACCGGGTCCAGGACACGAACCGCGGTCGACTACGTGGGAATCCAGCGACATAGCCATTACGCTAACTGCTGGTTCCCAAACATTTTTAAAGAATTATTTAACGATTTATTTTAAAAATTATTTATTTAATGCCATTTATTATTTTTAAAAATAATTTATTTATAATTGTATCTATTCATTCATTTATTTTAATTTGACCAGAGAGACACAGAGAAAGTGAGAAAGCAAGCCACCAGGTCCAGGACTTGAACTGTGTTCAGCTATGTGGGAGTATCCAGTGCCTTAACCACCACACCACCTGCTGGTCCCCTGTTATTATTTTTTAAAAGAATTGTTTCTTATTATTTTCCAGTTTGATCAGCGAGAGAGAGAGAAAGTGAGAAAGAAAGCCACCAGGTCCAGGACTTGAACCGTGGTTGGCCATGTGGGAGTGTCCAGCGCCTTAACCACCACGCCACCTGCTGGTCCCTTATGTTTTAATTTGATCAGAGAGAGACAGAGAGAGAGAAGAGGAAAGCAAGAAAGCAAGCTGCCTGGTTCAGGATTCGAACCACAGTTGACCATGTGGAAATACAGTGCCTTTAATCACCACGCCACTTGCTGGTCCCTTAACTGTAGTTATCATCTTTTTTTTTTTTGAGAATTATTTTTAACTTTATTTTATTTACTTATTTAAATGTAACCATAAGGGCGAGAGCTAGAGAAAGAGAGAGCAAGCCACCAGGTCCAGGACTTGAACCACGGTCAGTCATGTGGGAGTCCAGCACCCTCAACCACCACACCACATGCCAACCTGAAATACTTTTTTTTTTAAAAAAAAGAATTATGTATTTAATTTTGTTTATTAATTTACTTCTTTTAATTTGACCAGAGAGAGAGAGAGAGAGAGAGAAAGTGAGAAAGCAAGCCACCAGATCCAGGACTCCAACTGTAGTTAGCCATATGGGAGTGTCCAGTGCCTTAACCACCACACCACCTGCTGGTCCCCACTTTTCTTTTTATTAAGAGAGACTTTTACTATAGGGTATGTGTGCTTACCAGAGAGACAGAGAGACAGATACAAAAAGCAAAAAATCACCACCACCACCCCCAGAGGAATGGCTTCATCGCAATCCCTTCTCCTCTCAGGATTTTGGGCAGGCACACATTAACCAGGTGTGAGTTTTATCCACCGAGTCTGGGACTCGAACTGTGGTCAACTACGTGGGAGTCCAACTACATACCCATTATGCCATCTGCTGGTCCCGAAAAGACTTTTTTTTTCAAGTATTATTTTATTTAACTTTATTATTTATTTTTAATTTTGACCAGAGAGGGACAGAGTGAAAGAGAAGGACTTGAACTGTGATCAGCCATATGGGTGTCCAGCGCCCTTAACCATCACACTGCCAGCCCCCTGAAAAGATTGACAGTCCCAGACTCATAAATCTTTAGACCATATTAAATATATTAAGTTGCCACAAGATAGGCAAAAAGTGTACTAAAGGTTGAATATCCCTTATCCAAAATGCTTGGAACCAGAAGTGTTTCAGATTTTGGATCTTGGAATATTTGCATATACATAAGATTTCTTGGGACTCAAATCTAAACACAAAGTTCATTTGTTTCACACACACCTTATATGCATAGCCAGACAATTTTACATAATATTTTTATACTTGCAGCATTTTGACTGTGACCTGTCAGATTTGGAATATTCTACTTGAGGCATTGTGTCAGTGATCAAAAAGTTTCAGGTTTTTGAGTATTTTCTTTCCTTTTTTTTCTTTTTTCTTTTTTTTTTTTTTTTTGAGATTTTTGCTATAGGGCACGTATGTTCGCTGGAGAGACACACAGAGAGAGAGAGACAGAAAGTGAGAAATCGCACCACCCCTGGGGGAGATGGCCATGCCGCAATCCCTCCTCCTCCATTCTCCTCTTGGGATTTTGGCACACATGCACACCTGCCCGCTGTGAGTTTTAGGCCACCAAGTTCAGGACTCAAACCATGGTCGACTGTGGGAGTCCAGCAACATAGCCATTACACCAATTACTGGTCCCAGATTTTGGAATATTTTCAATTTCAGATTTGGTAACAGAGATGGTCAAGCTATAAACCTTTCTTCTTGTGTCCAGATTAACTGTGTTGTTCTGCACTCTGCTTCAGCAGACTTGAAGAGTGGCTTTGCCCACCTAGTTTTCCCTTTAAGGCGCGTCCTTTATTCCTTTGCTTGCAAGGCTGGACGGCAGTCTTGTCCTTACATACAAATAACCATCTTCAGCATGTAGATGATGAAAACACCTCCATGTATTGGGGTTCGAGTGAAAGTTGAGAACCAAAAATCTACAAAAACTCAATTCATGTTTTTTAAATACTTTATATGGTAAAAATACAGCAAAAAATAGTTTTTTTGTTCAAAGAGGAAAATATATACTGCTATGGTCTTGGTTCTACGGATGATTTAAGTCGTCTCTGGCTCCGCGGCTGTGCACTGGAGTATCGGCTGACTTGAACCATGGCTTGTCCAGCTTCAGTCATTTATCAAAGCTAAAATCATACTGTGGAAAGAAGAGATTAATGTTACTAATATTTCCTTAAGACTATTCCTAGAGAGTCTGGAGCTGTGCAGACTTCCATCCCTAAGGCTCATAAGAGGGACACTCATTTTATAATCATTCATAGCTAAGGAAAAAGATAATCATTTATACTTAAAGACAAGACTATACTAAGGGCTTTCAATGCCCTAATTTTTTTACTAAAAAAAGTAACTGGAGGTGAGGTTAGAATGGGATATAGGAGTATAACCTAAAAGGAATGTTGGGTATAGTTTAAAAAAAAAAAAAAAGCTTTAATTCTCTAGCCAGATACAACATACTGTTGCTATGCCTGGAATCCTTCCCTCTGGTCTCCACTCCCGTCAACCTAGCAAATTCCTACCTGGGCTTCATGATTGGGCTCTAAGGCTTCACTTGGGCCAGGGCCTGCTTCCACAGTTCCTCAGCTTCCTGCAAGCTTTGGTTTATGTGGTAGTCTCTACCACTGGATTGTGTCCTCCTCTGAGACATCACCACTAGGCATCACCACTGTCTTATACTAGTATAACACCCAGTACTGCAATTACTGAGCATAAGCTTTTACTTTAGGGATTTTGTGCTGTTCTGTGCCTTGCAGGGCCTTTTACGGTGTCTAACACATAGCAGTCACCACTAAATACTCTATTAAAACTTGGGACTAGGGACCAGAAGTTAGCATAATGGCTATGTCGCTGGACTCCCATGTAGTCGACCGCGGTTTGCATCCCGGACCCGGTGGCTTAAAACTCACACCTGGCGCGTGTGCGTGCGTGCCCAAGATCCTGAGAGGAGAACGGAGGAGAAGGGATTGCAGCGTGGCCATCCCCAGTGGGGGTTGATTTCTCGCTTTCTGTCTGTCTCTGTCTGTCTGTCTGGCGAGCGCACACACCCTATAGCAAAACCTCTCAAAAAAAAAAAACTTGGGACTAGCAGATAGCATAATGGTTACATCAGTAGACTACCATAGTCGACCATGGTTTGCATCCTGGACCTGAAGGCTTAAAACTCATATTGGGGGAAAAAAAAAAAAAAAGAAAGAAAAACTCACATTGGGGGACCAGTGGTTGGCTTAATGGCTATGTCGCTGGACTCTCATGTAGTCGACCGCGATTCAAGTCCCGGACCTGGAGGCTTAAACTCACGCCGGGTGCATGTGCATGCGCCCAAGATCCCAAGAGGAGAATGGAGGAGAAGGGATTGCGACGTGGCCATCCCCCCTAGGGAGTGATTTTTCGTTTTCTGTCTGTCTCTGTCTTTCTGGCAAGCATAGCTGCCCTATAGCAAAAACCTCTCCAAAATAAAAAACACAAAACCTCACATAGGGTACATGTGTATGCATGCCCAAGATCTCGAAAGGTGAATGGGAGGAGAAGGGATTGGGACATGGCCATATCCCAAGGGGTGATTTCTCGCTTTCTGTCTCTCTAGTGAGCGAACGCACCCTATAATCTCTCTCAAAAAAAATTGCCATGGTGAGGCCAGCAGGTGGCATGGTAGTTGAAGGACTGGACTCTCAAATGGCCGACTACAGATCGTGTCCCAGATCTGGTGGCTTGATTTCTCACTTTCCCTTTCTTTCTTTCTTTGTCTCTCTCTGGTGAGCACATATGCCCTATAGCAAATTAAAAAGTAATAATAAATAAAATTAAATAAAACATTCTTTAAAAAAAAAAAAAACTGCCACAGTGGAGCCAGCAGGTCGCATAGTAGTTAAGGTACTGGACTTATACACAGTCAACTATATATAGTTCAAGTCCCAGATTCAGCAGCTTGAAAATCATGCCGGGCTCCTGTTTGTGCATGCCCAAAATCCCAAGAGGAGAATGAAGGAGAAAGGATTGCAGCATGGCCATCTCCCAGGGGGTGATTTCTTACTTTCCCTCTCACTGAGGTCTCTCTCCTCTCTGACAATCACACATGCCCTATGGCAAAAACCTTTAAAAGAACAATGAGATAATTTTTAAAAACTACCACAGTAACAAACAATGATAATAAACTTTCCTTTTCTTGAATACTGAGCCCTGTGACTCCAAAATCCTGAGACTAAAATACATAAAAATATCTTTATATTACTAATGGCATAAATGATTATTTGTCCGAATTTAGCCATAATAATGTATTCAGTGTACAGCACAGATTAATAGAAGTTTATATTTTTTAAGAATTATTCTTTATTTAACTTTATTATTATTATTATTATCTTCTGGTTTGATCAGAGAGAGAGAGAAAGTGAGAAAACAAGCCACCATGTCTGGGACTTTAACCACAGTCAGCCATGTGAGAGTCCAGCACCCTCAACCACCACACCATCTGCCAGCCCTGAAGTTTGTATTTTATAAGTTTTTGTGGACCAGTAGTGGCATAGTAGTAAAGGCACTGGACTGCCAGATGGCCAATCATGGTTTGAATCCCATACCTGGAAGCCTGAAACTCGTACTAGCTACATATGCATGTGTGCTCAAAATCACAGGAGGACAATGGAGGAGAAAGGACTGCAGCATGACCACCTCCTCTAGAGGACGATTTCTCACTTTCCCTCTCATTGTCTCTCTCTGGCAAGCATATGCTACGTATGGCAAAAAACTAAAATAAATTGTGCTTTATATATATTATTATTATTATATATATTATTTCAGTCAACACGACAAGTTTTTTTTCCAAGAGGTTTTTGCTATAAGGCGTGTGAGCTCCCAAGAAAGACAAAGAGAGACCTAGAGACAGAAAATGAGAAATCACCCCCCAGGGGGGATGGCCACACCGCAATCCCTTCTTCTCCATTCTCCTCTTGGGATCTTGGGCATACATGCACACACACCCAGAATGAGTTTAAGCCACAAGGTCTGGGACTCGAACCGTGGTCGACAACATAGGAGTCCAGCGATATAGCCATTACGCCAACTGCTGGTCCCAGAACTTTATTTTATTTTTAATTTGACCAGAAAAGGACAACCAGAGACCAGCAGATGGTGTAAATGGTTTCGTTGCTAGATTCCCACATGGCTGACCTGGTTGAGTTCCAGACCTGGTGGCTTGAAAATCACACTGGGTGCTTTTGTGTGCATGCCCAAAATCACAGGAGGTAAATAGAGAAGGGATTGTGGCATGGACATCCTACCAAGGGGATGATTTCTCACTTTCTCTCTCACTACCTCTGTCTCCCTGGGGAACACACATGCCCTATGGCAAAAACCTTAAAAAAAAAAATAAAAGAAAAAACAGCAAGCAACCAAAGGCCAATAGGAAAGTTACAAGGTTATCTTCTCAAACTACTCTTTTTTCCTGACCCCTTAAACTGTGATTGACGCTAAGGGATATGGTAAAAGCACATGCACCCTATAGGACAACTCCCTCTTAAAAAAAAAAAGAGAATAAATGTATCATTGTGCTCTTAATATTAAATGTCTTTGCTCTTTTTTTCTTTATCTTTACAACCTGTATTAAAAACTAAGAATAGGGGATGGCAGGTGGTATGGTGGTTAAAGATGCTGGATTCCCACATGGCTGACCACGGTTCAAATCCTAGGCCTGGCATCTTGTTTTCTCACTTTCCCTTTCTCTTTTTCTCTGGCTGGTCAAATTAAAAAATAATAACAAATGGAATTAAATAAATAAATAATTTTGTAAAAAAAAGAAAGAAAGAAACGACTAAGTACAACAGCACTAAGGTAGGTTATAAGAACCAGAAACTGATGCCATTGCCTTTTCTGTTTTAGTTTTCAAAATACAGAAAAGCAAACCAAGTGGTGAAAGGAAACCATTTAAATGCTTTCTTTAAAAACAGAATTATTTATTTATTTAATTCCATTTGTTATTATTATCTTAATTTGACCAGAGAGAGAGAGAGAGAAAGAGAGAGTGAGAGAGCAAGCTGCCAGGTCCGGGACTCAAACCTCAGTCAGCCACGTGGGAATCCAGTGCCTTTAACCACCACACCACCTGATGGTCCCTAAACTCTTAATTTTAACCCATGTAATATATGCTAGTAGTTGGATTTAGCACAGTGAAAAGATTTTAGAAAGCCAGCTTTGTCAGGCAAAGACTAAAATGACCGATTTTAAACTATTTCAGAAAAAAGAGCACTTTTTTTAACATTAAAAAAATTATTTTATTTATTATTATTAAAGTTTGCTATAGGGCATGTGTGCTTACTCAAGAGAGACACAGAGAAGGAGGTAAAGTGAGAAAGCAAGCCACCAGGTCTAGGACTCCAACTGTGGTCAGCTGTATGGAAGTCTAGCACCTTACCACCACCTGATGGATCCCAAATGTGCACTTCTTTAAAAAATTTCATCAGTAGGGACCAGTAGATGGCGTAACAGCTACATCGCTGGACTCCCATGTAGTCAACCGCAGTTCAAGTCCTAGACCCGGTGGCTTAAATTCACACCAGGCGTGTGTGTTTGTGTGTGCGTGTCCAAGATCCCGAGAGGAGAATGGAGGAGAAGGGATTGTGGTGTGGCCATCCCCCCTGGGGGGTGATTTCTCATTTTCTGTCTCTCTGTCTCTTTCTGGCAAGTGTACACACCCTATAGCAAAAACCTCTCAAAAAAAAAAAATCATCAGTATACAGTTTCTAATCATTTGGGAGCTTTTGAAAGATAGAAGTTTAGTTCAATACAAGTTCTTCAAAGTAGTTCTTATGCCTATGTAAAAAATTAAAATTTACCTAGGGGAAAATACAGAAATGATTTAATTAAAGGTTTGATACAAAGATTAAAGTCTGATTTCTGGTCTCTTAAAGAGTATTTTTTTTTTCTTTCCTCTCTAAAATATAAGGAAGTTTTGCTTTCGTTTTGGTTTTTGTCATAGGGTATGTACACTTGCCACAGAGACAATGAGAAGGAAAGTGAGTAGGATGGCCATGCCCCATTCCTTCTCCTCCTGGGATTTTGGGCACAAACTCACAAATACTCAGTGTGATTTTTAAGCCACCAGGTCTGGGACTCAAACCATGATCAGCCATGTGGGAGTCCACACCTTAACTATTACACCACTTACTAGCCCCATAAGTTTAAGTTTTAAGCAGGACTACGTAAAGCTTCCATGTCTGATGGCCAATCCTTCATATCAATTCTTATTTCTAATATGTAATAACTGAAGAACTGAAGCAATTTTATCAGAAAAGACCTCTTAACGTGATGGAGATTCAGCATGACACCTGAATTCTATACTGCTAAGAAAGATAAGCTAAATTTGGGTATAAGTTGCTGAGAACTCTCATGAGTAAGATGATTCCCTAGAGGGGCTGTCAGTTGCTGTAGTGGTTAAGGCAGCTGGACTCCCACACAGCTGACCATGGTTCGAGTCCCAGACCTGGCAGCTAGCTTTCTCACTTTCCCTCTCTCTAGTCAACTATAAAAAATAAAATAAAATAATGACAAAGAATACAGTTAAATAAAATAATTACTGGGGCCAGCAGTTGGCATAAGGGTTGTGTCGCTGGACTCCCATGTAGTCGACCACAGTTTGAGTCTCAGACCCAGTGGCTTAAACTCACACTAGGCGCGTGTGCATGCATGCCCAAGATCCCGAGAGGAGAATGGAGGAGAAGGGAGTGCAGCATGGCCATCCCCCCTCAGGGGTGATTTCTCGCTTTCTGTCTCTCTGTCTCTCTCTATCTTTCTGGTAAGCACACGTGCCCTATAGCAAAA